CACAGGATATTTCCTCCCTGTGATAATTTCTACCTTCAAATAAGGCATGCGCATGGAGTCAGTGGTGCTTGCTCCTAATTTGTCCAAGCTCGAAATAAAACTATAACTATACAGAGAGTAATAAAAAAACAAGTGGCATGCATGGACACGTGAAAAGAATTGGCATCACGCGAACAAGGATCAAACTTGTTGCTGCAGCAAGGAAAATGGGTGGGTATATTGCGGTCAGAAACCAGGCATGCCAGTTTTGACGCGGCGTCGTGGTTTGTCAAAGCCAGAAAAAAAAAACAGTTGACGTCGCGTTGGACTTCTGAGTTCTGACCGTAGAATAGCGTGCATTCATTCTAAACCCTGAAATTGGCAACCTATGGCTATGCGTACGTTGGTTTGGAGTCAAAAGCGTACGTCGGTGGGCGCCGCACGAACCGATGATCTCTTGGCGGCGAGCACGCCTCCCCCTGGCACAAAAGCTCCTGACCTGCACCAGCACCACTAGCGCATGCAACAGCGCGATGGTTGGTCGGTCCAACGGACGGCTCGGGCGCAGGCATCACTGCCGGGGCGACACGACAAAGCAAGAATGCAGAGCCAGGCTCATGATGGTTTGCTGGTGCCGGCACAAAGCGTCGGGTCGGCCACAGAAAATGGAGGTAATAGCACCGCAGGTACCCTAACTTACACAGAATGTGATGATTCAGTCCCAAATTTGTAAAATTTGACTCCATCATATCCCAACTTGCACCTCATGTGATGATTTAGTCCCAAGCCAATCAGAGAACGACAATTGGCAGCCAGGTGGCTGGCCCGGTCAATGCACGCACTTTTGATAAAAACCCCCGTCTTTTTCCCTAATTAACCCACACTCACTCCACCTGAATTAAATCAGCACACTCCTTTTTTATGGTAAAATGTAGCATACATTGCGGACGCAGATTTTTGACTCCGAGGTGCTCCATCCACTGAAATCCTCACGTGTCGTTACTTTGGCCTGATTAGAGGCAATACATATTCAATACACTAGCGTAATACGAGCTGCGGTACAAGTTGGCCCAATAATTAATTACGTGTGTGGTGCAGTCTGTTGTGACCGAATTAATTCAAATTCAGCACCAGGTGTTGCAAGCCATAATGAATGGCAATGACTAAAGAGGAAGCCTCACGTTAATTTTGATTTCAGTTTAGGACTTCAATCAAATCCGCTGAACAATGCATCTCGTTTATGATGGATGAGAGTCAATTCATTTGAGCACCTAATTATGTGAGACTCGGATAGTTGCAAAGACAAATGTTTCATAACATTTGGGTATATAATAAGAAACCTAAAAACATGAAACGTGATTTTTCCTTAAGCAAACGGTACAAAAATGATTTGGGTAGCACAGTACATAAAAATCTGCCTACCACGGCAGCTTCTTGGTTTACTTAGTATCCTGGTTACATAAATTACACCATTAACATCCTGGTTTACTTAATACTATCTTGGAAGAGAAAGATCTTGGTTTAAGTAAACTATCTGAATATGACCAGCTTCTTGGTTAACTTAATATTGAGTATATTGCTGATGCCTTCCACGAAAGTTTACTTATTAATATCCTATTTATATGTAAAAAAAAAATACTACATCTTAGAGGACAGAAATACATCCTGGCTTCCTTAATATCCAGCTTCTTGGTTATAAGTTAGAAAAAGACATCTTACTCACAATTAAATTCAGTTTAGTCAAAAATCCACATCCTGGAACCGAACTGAAACCATGATCTCTGTCTTCCAGGATATTAAGTAAACTTCTTGGAACTTAATATCCTGGATTACTAAATTTCCTGGTTACATCTTGGAAGACAGAAAAGCTACATATAAACCTGAGTTTCCTGGAACTTTTTTATTTTCCCATGAACATCCTGTATCGATGGGCATGTAACAATTAACCAGGTGATTTTCCGCAAAAAAAGCAGATTAGCTACAGAGATCTATACTTACGGGTTCAGTTGAGCTTCAGGCAGAGGTACAGAACGGCGTTAGATTGAGGATCCCCACGATGAGGAGGACCTTGAGAGTTGGCTGCATGGATTTGCTGCTCCCGATCTCGTTTGCGCCACCTATTTCCTGCTGCTCCCTTACGCCGCAGGCTGCCGTTGCTCGCTTCTCGCACGAGCTTCCACCGGCTTCCCGACGTTCTCCCTCTCGCCTGCCAGCGACAGCAGCGCGGCCAGCGCGTCCTTCTTTGTGCTCGTCGGGCCCGTGCGCACGAGGTGGACTAACTTTTCCACGACGGAAGGCTCGGCGGCACGTATGGACGAACGCCAGGCTGAGCAAGGCCGTCGCGGCGTTCTCCTTGGCGCGCCACGTCGTGCCGGAGCTCATGATGTGGGTCACTGCCTCGATGGCGCCATCGGCGTGCATGATGCGCTTCTTGTTGGCCTCGAGGATCGAAAGGTTGAGCAGCGCGGTCACGGCGTTGAGCTGGAGCCCGGCGTCCTCGGACTAGAGCAAGGGCACCAGCATCGGCGCGGCTCCGGCCTCTCCGACGAACGCGCGGTTGTCCAAGCCGGACTTGGAGAGCAGCCGGATCTCGTGCACCACGTGGTTGGCCGCGTCAGGGGAGAATGAGACGGAGAGCTTCTTCACCAGAAACGACGCCGTCATGCGCGCCACCTCGAGCGCCGCCTTGTTGGCGGCCACCGCCTGGGCCTGCTCGCTCTTGCTGGCCTCGCAGACTTCCATGGCTACGCCGTTCTCCCGGCACCACTTGGAGATGAGGTTCTTGAGAGACTTGTTGGGCACCAGCTCCAGATTGGCCAAGACTTGCCCCGTCTTGGGGCACGACGGCACGTTGACTTGCCGGAGCCGAACCACCGGTCGATCGACTCGCTGGTCTGACCGCTAGCGGCGACGACTGGGTCGCGCATTAGATCGAGGGAGATGGGGCACCGGAGGTCCGGTGGGGGCGCCGGTGACTCCCCGTCATCTTCGACATCGATGTCCGCCTTGGAATCCGAAAAGGCCGGGGCGTGGCACTGAACAGGACACACTTGGCGTACCGGAGCAGGCCGACGAGGGCGATCATGGCGGCAGTCCATCTCTCCGATGCTCGGTCGCCGATGTCCCGCTCGAGGCTCTCGATCTCGTCGCTGCAGCTGGCCGGGTCGTTGATGCCAACCTCCTCCAGGATCTCCTCCAGCCTCTCCCGCTCGGGCACGATCTCCCGCTCGATTTCCTCGATCAGCGACAGCACGGTGGTCTTGAGCGTCGGCTTCGGCTCGGCGGCCGACGCGCAACGGCGGCACTGGCGCGAGGCGAGGGCGAGGAGGTCCATGACGTCGTCGGCGAGGCCGAGCTCGACGACGGGCAGGAGGTCGAGCAGCGTGGCGAGGTCGTGGTGCAGGTCCCGCAGCTCGGCGTCCATCTCGTCCGACTGCAGCAGCAGCAGTGTGCGG